AGCTTGCTGTGCCCTCCACAACTAAGATTGAAGGACCACAACTTGGCTGTTGCCCTTCCCCAATTCCCCAACACTGTTCCCCTCCCCCAATTCCCCAATAAAATCTTTTAAAAAAGAAAGAAAATCAAAGGCCTAAGATTTATTACTATACAAGTTTTCTTAGATATAAATGAGGATTATAACAGATTTTAAGAGCACTCTACTATGTTGTAATCACAATGATAAAGTTCTGTTTTGGTGAGAATTGGTACTCGGTGAACATCAGGTTTTTTATTTTGTTTTGTTTTTAAGATTTTATTGAGGAACTGGGGGAGGGAAACAGCGTTGGGGAATCAGGGAAGGGGAACAGACAAGTAGCTGTCCTTTTGTTCTTCAGTCTAGTTGTGGAGGACATCGCTTCACTGGCCCATGTTGGTATTATCATTGCGCTCTTCCTGGGTGAGGCAGATGGGTCGCCAGCCACTGGACAGCTGCTCACGGAGGCTCTTGGCAGCTCACATAGGCTGCCAGCTGCTCACGCTGGCTGCCAGCCATGTACCGCAGTTTATGGCAGCCCATTGCAGCCTACGCCATCACCGGTGACTCATGGCAGCCCAGCTCCAGGTCGAGCTGTTGTTCACCATCTTAGCTGTAGAGGACGCAGCATCACTGGCCCTCATGTGGGATCCAAACCAGGGCCCTGCTGCTCAGAGCTGGCGTCCCAAGCCAACTCTTAACCAACATGCCACTTGGCCCACCCAGAACATCAGGTTTTATAATATGAAAGAACACCTATGGTGATTTAAAAAGAAAATTAGAATGGTTCCTTTTTTCAACCCTGACACATAGTATATTTTATTTTTCAGAGAAGCATAATACTATTGACTGAAAGTGAGAAAGGAAGAAAAAAATAAGCCAGAGAAGGGGAAATTTTCTAAAGAGTTTGAAATACAGAAAAAAGTTGAGGACCTTTGGCTCTAGGCTTAAAATAATGTTATTTGAATTAAGAATCACATAAAAATTAATCATACATCATTTTCTTTAGCAAAAGCAGAAGTCTGAGGCAGAGTTAAATTACATTAACATTGAGAAAGGAGAATTAAAGCAGTACGACAGAAGTCCTTTGGTCCCTGTGGGCCTACATCCCCTGTTAAGGGAAACTGCAGGTCACATCTCCATGGCAACCAAGTTCTGTATAAAGGGATTCCACCTCTAACCACAGCTGGCTCAGGAATGGGCACTTTACCCCTAATATGATATAGACTATCCATCGGCCTTCCCAGGGATCTCTCACCAGCCCAGCAATAAGAACAACCTAGACAAAACAAATCCTGGGGATATGAATTGAACCCTGAAGAAATGCAACCAGTGAGCAGAAATTGAAACCAGAGGTCCTAAGGAATTGCAGAACTTGAAACCCATCAATGGCCACTGTATCATTCAGAGTTCCAGCAGGAAACAGAAGACACAGATGGCTCAAAGGAAGAGACTTTAATCAAGGACTATTTGCAGAAATGCAGGCAGGGTTAAGAGAACAAATAAGGAAGGATGAGGTCACCCAGAATGGTAGCAAAAGCCATTACTACCCTGGGCTTGAAGGGACCGGAGGCAGAAATAGTGTTACTAGAGCCCAGTGAGACCTGGAAATGTATTACAGGGTCCCTCAGCAGGAGCCGTAGCCTTGGAGAGATATAGATACTGTCAGACATGAGAAGCAGAGCCAGGAAGAGGGAAGAAATACTCTTAACTTCTCACCCCCTCTTGTCCTCTGGTGACCCACTCATTAGCCAGGCCCAGTGGGAAGCCAGCCACGAGGGGAGTCCTGGTATGGGTCAGCCCCCACAGCACAGAAAACTGCAGAGGAAAGTGTGTACATCTGGAGATCACACAGAGGCCAACCAGAAAGCCTCACGCAGGCCAAAGTCACGAAGGATGTGAAACAGCTGGTAGAAAGAGGAAAACTGTCCAGATAGAAGCAAATGACTTGAGAGAAATAAAGGTGGAGAGAGTAGCCAGGCCCTAGTGCTGCCTTGTTTCTGATGCCTTTCTGGTCCAGTTCTATCATTTCACTGCAATACCAACTCACCCCCCAAAGCTTGAGTCCCTTTAATAGGACTCTCTTCCTTGCAACCAGAAAAGCCCATGTTAACCAAACATCATCCAAAGAAAAGAAGCACTTCTTCATCTCACTGTTTTCTATTTAAAGGGAATTTTTTAATAATAAATAAACACCGTTTTCAAACACAGAAAAAGGAATATGCATGGTTATAGAGATGTAGAAAAGAGATAAGCAGAGAAGATGAGGAAGCCCACACAGAATTTACACAATGCTTTGTCTCAGTAGTAAGTCTTCAAAGAAGATTCAAATGGACAGAATCTACATGAAATAATGACAGTAGTAACAATGCTGAAATTTTGTTTTGACTATAATTGGAGTTTCTACCATCTAAAAAATACCATATATGTAAAATCTTACTGGTTGGTGACAAATGCACTATGTGTATAAATCCTTGAGCTAGGGTATCTGTATATATAAGTCTGCCAGATTACATTTTAGCTATAACAGATAATTCAACGGTTCTCAGCCCTGATTATATATTAGAATTACCTGGAGATCTTTTTAAAAAGTCTGCCTGCCTGGGTCCATGCCAAACTAACTGAATCAACATCCCAAGGGGTGGCCTAAGCACAGTAAAAGGTCATTACAGTTTATTACATTCTAAACCTGGAAAGAGCTTACTCATTTAGAGTCCCAACTTGATCATTTGATAGTTGATAAAGTAAGGCCCAGAAAGTCCTGGTCCCTGCCTGGTAGGTTGCACTGACACCTAGAGACAAAGCCAGGTCTAGAACCCAAAAGTCTTGCATCCATCTGGGCTCCGTTCATCCTGATTCATTCATTTGTTAATATATTCACTCAGGAAATATTCTGAGGGCCCATTATGTGTTAAGCACAGGATAATAAAACTGTTGCCATTATGGAACATTGTTGGAAATAAAAGTGTCCATCAACTAGCCAATGGATAAATGATACAATGAAAAACTATTCAGCAATAAAAAGGAACAAATTACTGATACAATCAACAAAGTGGATGAATCTCAAAAACATCATGTCAAGTGAAAAAAACAAGTGCAAAGGACTACATATTGTGTAATTACATTTATATGAAATGTCCAGAAAAGGCAAATCTGCAGTGACAGCAAGTAGATTAGTGGCTCCCTGGGGCTGGGAAAAGGAGCAGAGATTGATGGGGAATGAACAGGAAGGATCTTTTGTAGGGTGATGGAAATGTTCTGAAACTGAATTGAGATGATGGTTGCATAACTTCATAAATTTACTAAAAATCATTATGTTGTATACTTTCTATGGGTAGATTTCATGGTATGCGAATTACATCTCAATAAAACTTTAAAAAAGGGCCGGTCGAGTGGCTCAATTGGTTTAGAGCTCGCTCAAGAGTTTGAGCTCTGAGGAACAGCGGTTCAATTCCCGGCCTGAGCTGAGCTGCCACTGAGCTGCCAAAAGGTGGAAGGATGGTCCAGCTAAAAAAACAAAAACAAAAACTTAAAAAAAAAAAAAGCTTTCTGTAATTTATTGAACATTGTAACAGGAATTTGTACTAGGATTTAAACAGTAATTTGTACTAGGATTTAAACAGTACTGCTTTCATTGGTATGCTGGTAAAATTTTTTTTAAAAGATTAGAATGTTCAGCTCATGATTGACAAATAATAATAAAATATACAATACTCTTTATCATAAATTCTACTCACCCATACTTCAGTATGACCTGCTATTTCTTGGAAAATCCACTATCAGTTTTTATAATTATTTCATAAACAATAGTGTCAAAAATTCAAACTATAAATAAATGCTGGATTTCTGTCCAAGTTAGCAAAGAACTTGCTTTATTACTGAGAAAGAGTATAGTTCTAACATGAATGTCGGCTGATATTTTTTTTTGCAGTAAACCGAAATGAAACAATAAAGATTTATGCCAGAACTTCACTCATTCTTCAATAATTGTAAGCAACCTCTTTGTTGAAATCATGATAGTTTTCAAAAACTGAAAGAATATTTCTTCAATTTCGGAAGGCTACTGACAATGTGACAGCCATAGACATGAAACATTTTAATTTAATCTTCATTAACATCTTTACTATTACTTTCTTAAGCATGCAAACAATAAGTAAAGCTCTGCTTAGTAGCATTTGACAATTTCCATGGTGTACATACACCCACCGTGGCTGGTGTCAAGCTACCAACGTGACATCACTGAATGCAGAGTTGAGAAGAGATGTGCAGTATCACACCACTAAATAGTGTTTCCACATACAGATCCGATAGACATAATCTTATAAGAGTAGCTAATAGTAAAACATAATAAAAACAATTAGAAAGTGATGAGTTGGGTTTTTTTAACCTTTGTTTTTAATATAATTAAATTGTAAGTTTATATAATTTAACTTTTAATAATGGCAGTGTTTAATTTACAGCTCATTAAATTCCTGACATTTTAACAGCTGGCTCTCATCACCCAGCTCTAACACACCACTGACTGCCTGTTTTATCAATGAGAAAACTGAAGCTCTGAGAGGCTGTCACTAACTAGCCCTGGTCACACATGACCGTGCCACTCAGGTCTGTTTTATTCTAAAACTTCTCCTTTTCACTGTGCCTCTCTTTAAAATATAACTGGTGATCTACCCAAACACCATAATATGAATGGATGTATCATTTGTTGGACAGTCATTGCTTTCCTTTCCAATAGGTGAAGTGGAAAACGACTAGGCCAGGAGGAAGAAATAAACGAAAAGAGAACATCTACTTGACAGCTGTGTTCAGGACATGGCAGGACCTCCAGGACCCTCCCGGGATTTGGCTAAATCAAGATTTAGCAACCAGCAATTGCACAATTGGTAGAAATGATAGGTCGTTCATTGTTTTTTAAACTTTTGTCAGTCGATGTTCCTTTTCACCCATTTTCACTGTATTTAATAAAAAAGTTACTTAAGACTTACCTCCGAGTCCCTAGGACCTGCACTTGCGCAGTGAGTCCCGCGGGTGGACGCTCAGCCCCGCCCCTCAGAGACGCCGGCTTCCCTGACAGGCACGAGACGGAAAGACGCTACCGCGCAGGCTGCGGCCGCGCAGGCGCGGTCGGGGAGCTTTCCGGGAGTCGGCACCTTTACCTCTCGCGTGTTTTGGGTCGTTGGTTTGCGAAGTTCCGTTGAGCCCGGCGAATACTTGAAAAGCTGGGGTCGTGGACCCCCGTCAGGTCTCAGCAGCACGGAGGTGCAGGGTGTCGCCGAGGGGGCGGGGCCGGGCGCCGCCAGCGGCGCGCTCTGCCCCGGGGCCCCCGGCCCTGCTCCGGGCCCGGCCCTGGCTCCAGCCCACGTCCCGGCCGCGGCCTCGCAGTTCACCCTGCTGGTGATGCACCCCTGTGGGGGGCAGGACGAGGCCGCGGCCGACGGCGTCCTGAGGCCAGCGCCGGCCCTGGGGTGCAGCGCGGGCGCGGGCAAGCCTGTGAGATACCTGTGTGAAGCGGCAGGGGACGGCGAGGAGGAGGCAGGGGAGGACGAGGCCGACCTGCTGGACACCTCGGACCCCCCGGGGGGAGGCGAGAGCACCGCGAGCTTGGAGGACCTGGAGGATGAGGAGACCCACTCCGGGGGCGAGGGCGGCAGCGGGGGAGCCCGGAGACGGGGCAGCGGTGGGGGCGGCATGAGCAAGACCTGCACCTACGAGGGCTGCAGCGAAACCACGAGCCAGGTGGCCAAGCAGCGCAAGCCGTGGATGTGCAAGAAGCACCGCAACAAGATGTACAAAGACAAGTACAAAAAGAAGAAAAGCGACCAGGCTCTGAACTGCGGCGGGGCCGCCCCGGCTGGCAGCGTGGGAAACGTCAAACTGGAGGTATCGGACCTTAGCTGGGGTCTTGGGGGGGAGGTGGAAGAACAGCCCCACGCTGTGCCAGCGGCATTTCCAGCGCCTGCCCACTGGCCCCTCGACGGGCCGGGTTGCTGTGGCTGGACCGGAGGCTGAGCGTTAACGAGTGCTTGTTCTAAATTAAAGTTTACACAAACGTGTGCAAAGCCTTCACAGTTCTGTGGCATCCGTGTGATAGATGAATCCATTTCAATGAAAATGATGGTACACGTCAGAAGAGCTGTCATTTCTAAAGGAGCAGGTAAGAAACTTAGGAACCTAGATGAAATTAGTACTTTGGAGAAGGTAGTCTCTGTTTTCACTACCCTATTTCAGTATCCTGTTTTGAGTATTCCCAATTCTTAGTACCCTGTTCCCAGTACCTTTATATGTAATACCCTGTGCTTAGTCCCCTGTTCTCAGCACCTCTGTACTCAATACCTTGTTCTCAGTATCCCTATTCTTAGTACCCTGTTCACACTACCTTTTTGTGAAAGAACTTAATAACAATGGGGTGTAAGCCTCAGAAGACTTTTAGATTGTTGGCTTTGAACTGTGTTGAAGCCAGTCCTCTGCAGTGGACTTCTGACTGCAAATCTCCATTATGTTGGCTGTGTGGCCTTGAACAGGTTATTAAACTCTTTTAAGCTTCAGCCTCTTCATCTGTAAACTGGGTATTAAAATAGTACCTGCTTCATAATGTTACTGTGACTATGTGAGGTATTCCATATTGAGTGTTCACACAGTGTCCTGCAGCTAGTAAAAGTCGATAATAATAAGCCTTAGCCATTATTATGGTTGTTGTTAGTGGTGTTCTTTGAGGTTGTTACAGATAAGCAGATACTTCATGCTGTGTGTTTTTCTCCTTTTAATAAAAGCTATAACTTTTCAGTGCAAAGAAAAATTGAATTTTGTTAAAAGTGATCCAGAAAATAATTTTTAAAACTGAAAGCTGTCCTAGGATGTATTTTGAGTCTTTAAATTTCTTAGTTTTTGGCTGGACTTGAACAGGTGCCTCGTTGCTCAAATATTAGATTTTGCAATAGTTTACAAATGTAATGTTCTAAGTATTTCTAACATCTGCAGTCACCAACATGTCACATTTAATTCACACTGATTAGGTTCTGAGTGACTTCTCATTCCTTATTATCCCACTGAGTCTTAATCTGTTTAGGGTAAAAGGACTCCTTTGAGACTCTTAACGAAACCTCATGAACCCTTTTTCCAGAATAATGCACATATGTAGTTATTTAATTTTGCATATACATTCATGGAGCCCCTCTGGATCTTAAGTTTAAAACCTCCTCTATCCATATCCTTGTAAAATAATAAATTTTACCAAATCTTGGATTACAAGGCATTATGGAAATAAGTATCTCACTTATTACAGAATGAAAGTTAGTAAGGGTGGTCAGTGTATCCCTTTTGTATGTTCCAAAGGTACCCATTCACTTCAGAATTGTTTACAGAGAGAGAAGATAATCTAATTCTTTTCAAGAAAGAAGTTATTTGCCTATAGCTTTCTTTTTTAAAATGGTCCAGCATTTCTACAGTTTGAAGAAAATGTATAAAAGGTAAATTGATACTGAGATTCTTTCCCTGCACCCCCACAAAAAAGGACCTTAATAATTTTCCTATTCTAAAATAATTTGTGTGATTTTTTTTTTAGGGATGAAATGTAATTGCTATAAGCAAGAAATTATAGCATACTATACTATTTGTCTTATGTTATGGGACACTTTACCAGTTCTGAGGAGATTACAAGAGCTGTATGTCTTTATTCAACTGAGTATAAAGAAAATAACAGTGACAGTCAGGATATAATAAAGGCATCTACAGAACTGCTTTAGTGGTGGAGAGGACATATCATTGTAGGCTGAGACACTCTGAGAAGGCTTTCAGAGAAAATATGTCAGTTTAAGCCAGAAAAAGCGGCTAACAGTTTATGCTTAATCAGCTAAGTTTCTTATGTGCCAGACACTCTGCTAAGCTGTCAATGGAGCCTCACACCATTCAGCAATGAGATGGGTACTATGTTTTACATATGTGGCAACTGAGGCACAGAGAGGGTAAGTAACTTGGCCTACGTCACACAGCCAGCAAGAACTCATACCCAAGCAATTTGATTCTAGAGCCTTACTCTTACCCCCACACTATACTGCTTCCCTAGAAATTTGGTAGGTAAAAAGAAAGAGATGCACAGCTTTGTAAAGAAATACAGGGAATACAGGAGACACTTTTGGTATGACAGCTAGTGGACCAATGTAGCTAAAGTGGAAACTTTTTGTGAAAAATTCATGACAGATAAATTTGGAAAGAGCATTTGTGGCCAATTTTTGTATGGTATTGAATGCCAGGCTTATGGAGTTTGGATTTGGAGTCTTTAAATGTAGGTTTCTATTTAGAGAGGACCAGGGGCTCCTACTCTGATGGGTGGATTAATGTCGAGGGTCTGTAGATTTATTAGAGACTATTTAGGAGATCAGTAAGTCTTGTGGGTTTTCTGCCATAGTTTGAACAGCACAATTAGAAATTAAGATACGTAGAATCAGTATTTCTGATTTTAAGTCTACATAAGGAACAAATGCATATAACATTTAGTCCATGTATCTAAAAATTGTTCCATATAAGAGACACATAAAGGAGCAAGGGATAAAGGAATTGACCTGTGGCATTGTGAACATTATCACTTACTATCTAAAAAGCTATCATTTAGAAGAGGCAGTAGATTTATTTTGTATAATTTTGAAGTAACTAGAATTCAGTGAAAATCACAAGAGATACATTATTTCAGCTGAACCTAAGTAAAAGCCACCTACATGTTAGAGCTATTCAAAACCAAATGGGATTCCTCAAAAGTTAGTAAGTTCCTTAGAACAAAAAGCGTTTAAAATCTTTGAAGAGAGAATTACAATATTTATAGAAGTTTGGGCTAGATGACTCAAGGTTATTTCCACTACAAGCTTCTATGACTTTGTGATATTAACATTCTGACTTTACATAACATTTGTCGGGGTTGAGAGAATACAGGGTACTCTGCCATCAAGCCAATTACAGCATTTCATTTCTTGTACACATAAAAATGAAACAGTCCCACAGAATGGTGGCTACCAGTGAGGAAGGGGGTTGGGGACGGGGGATGGGGGTGAAGGGAATAAAAGGGGTCAAATATATGGTGATGGGAGATTGGACTTCAGGTGGTAAGCACACAATAGATGTATTATAAAGTTGTACACCTGAAATTCACATAATATTAACCAATGTTATCTCAATAGATTTAATTTCCTATAAATAAGCTAACCTGATGGGAAGAGAGGAAGGGGGAAATTATTTTTGCTTTCTTTGGGTAGTAGAATACTTTCTTACAGTTTTTCTTAACATTTTGAAACCTAAAATGTTTAGGGATTGAACATTTAACAGGTTGGTAAACTTCTCATAACGAAAGAGTTAAAGGGGATATTCTAATAGACAACTTAGAGGTTGGTAGAGAGAAGACCAAGAGAGAAAAAACCCCAGCTTTTATAATAACCTAAATGAAGAGCCAAAGAGATGAATAAATTCATATAAGGCATGGCTTCATAACAAAACACTAATAGTTTTATATTTGTTTAGTCAGGTTTTTTGGATGTGGTCAATATTGTATTGTGTTTTTTATAAGAGAATGTTTCAATCAACTACAACACTATTTTGTTATGCCAGGAAAATTTAAGTGTTTAAGATTCTATCAAATAACTGTGGGTACATCTTTGGTAGGAAGTGCTACTGATTTGGGGGTAATGATGTCTCAGGGCTTGGTGTTATTTTAGGACTTACCTATTTTGTTTAATACTAGTGTTTTCCAGTCTTTGAAAACCAGTTTTTCATTTTTCTCCTAATGACTTCTAAATTTTGAAAGCTTTGTCTATCAGTGGTTTCCTTTTTCAATATTTTACTCTTCCCCCTCTTATTTTTTGTTGTTAATGGAGCAAAAATATATCAATTAGAATGTCTCATTAGCAATATGTAAGTTGCCTGTGAGTTCATATATTCCATACAAAGGCAGGCAGACTTAGTTTTGGCCTGGATAGCTTTCTGTGAAGAGAATGTTCAGTTTCTACGTGGCTTTTTAATAGTATTGAAAAGAGCTCACAGGTAACTCTTTGCTTCTCCACTACCACCTCTGCCTCACTACTGACTTTAAGACTGCAAGAGACTGAAGATCCCTGGTTGGGAATCCTGGAGGGAGAGAGAGGACTGTCACATAAAATTAACTGCCAACACTTTGCCTATGACTTAATATGGGACTTTCCCAAAATCCCACAGGGACTGGACAAGAAGGAAGAGAAGCAAAGACCTGTTCATTACATCACTGAAATGCATATAATCATGGATTATTATGTTATGTTAACTCTTGATCCTATTTGTATTTTTATTTATCCCAGGAAAGTGCAGATAACATACTCTCCATTGTTAAACAAAGAACGGGATCTTTTGGCGATCGTCCTGCAAAACCTACTCTTTTAGAACAAGTGTTAAACCAAAAAAGACTGGTAAGTATCTGGAAAGTAGTTACAAATCTAGTAACAAAAGTTGTTTGTTATCAATGGAACTATTTAGTTTTTTGAAATTTGTTAAAATGGCCGTCAGAATGGAATTGTGCCTCTGCCAGTACACTCCGGAATCTCTTAATGCGCTCCTGAGACTATATGAGCAGGAACACCTTTAATCCTGTATCTTCACTGACTAGAGCCTGAATATCTGAGCAAGATGAGATTTTGAAACAAACTCTCCTTGTACTGAATTCTGGGGTTTGTGAAATAATACCGTAATGGTACTGAGGTATGATTAGACCATATTTAATAAGGATCTCTATTATAAATTTGATATCAAAACTCAGAAAAGGAAGACTATTCAGTAAATACTAGAATAATTGGGTCATAATTTGAGGACAAAAAAATTTAACTTGTTATGTCACACTATACATCAAAACAAGTTCCTGGTAAAGATATTTAAAATAAAAAAAAAATAGAATTGGGATTTTCTCAAAAACGAAATGAGAAAATTTTAGTTAAAAAAAAATAGACAAAAAGTACAAATTAGTCATGGGGATGTAAAGTACAGGATAGGGAATATAGTCAATAATAATGTAATAGCTATGTATGGTGCCAGGTGGGTACTAGATTTATAGGGGGATCACTTCATAAATTATATAAATGTCTAACCACTATGCTCTATACCTGTAACTAATATAATATTGAATGTCAACTGTAAATGAAAACTTAAATAAAAAAAAATTAAAAGTAAGACAAAATTTCAAAGAAAATATTGCAAATTTGACTACATAAAAATGAATCCTAAAGTCAAAAATGGTAAAAATAAAAATGCAAACTTCAAAATAACATAGGATTAAAAAAAAATGATGTATAGGAAAATTATTTGCAACAAATATAAAAGAACGATGGTTAATATGGTTTTTATTTTTATTATATAAAATACGAATTGCTGAGGAAACAATTTTGACCTTTAATATACATTGCAAAAGATATAACAAGAAAAAAAGCAGAAATACTACCATCAAATGATACGGAACAGTATTCAATATCATAATATTGATAACAATAAACAACAACAGTAAGTGAAAATAAGTTAAATAATAACACACAATGATGGTGAGAGTTCCATGAAATGGGCACTCTTATTCTGTTGATGGCATCATGTATTGGCACAACACTTCTAGAAAACAGCTGGCACTGTGTTTCAGGAGTTTTTAACGTGGTCATCCCCTTTGACTCAGAAATCCTATTTAATGTGAAAACATTCGAAGGAAATAAATCCTAAATATGGATAAAGTTAAGCATAAGGGTGTTGCCAGAAATGTATTTATTAAAAATAGTAAAAGAGTAGTGTAAACAACCTAAATGTTAAAAAGTTTCATAACAATTAAGAAGACTGTTGGGGCCGGCCGAGTGGCTCAGTTGGTTAAGAGTTAGCTTAAAAGCATGAGCCCTGAGCAACAGGGCCGCCAGTTTGATTCCCACATGGGCCAGAGACACTGCGCCCAAGCTGAGCTGTCGCTGAGCTGCCAATAGGTGGCAGGATGGCTCAGATGGTGAGAGCACGTGCTCCTAACAACAAGACTGCCTGTTCGATGGTGGGCTACACCTGCCCTCAACTAAGACTGAACTTGGTACCTTGAGCTGAGCTGCCACCAGGATGGCTCAGTGGATAGAGTGTGCGCTCTTAACAACAAGGCTCCTGGTTTGACTCCCACATGGGATGGTGGCTACGCCCACCCACAACTAACATTGTAACACAGCACCTTGAACTTAGAGGCCATGAGCTGCTGATGGGCAACCAGATGGCAGCTGGCGCCCTCCACAACAAAGATTGAAGAACAACAACTTGGCTGGTCCCCTTCCCCAATTCCCCAATTTAAAAAAAGAAAAAGACTGTTGTACATTTACTTATTAGAACGTTGGGCCGTCTTTAGAAATAAGTTTTACACAAAACTATTAAATAGAAAATATATTATGCTACAGTGTTAAATTTTAAAATCAGTATTTAATGATAGTATTTCAACTTTATTCAGCTTATCTTTTTTAATTTCTTGGAGCCAGTTTGTTTCTTCATCAATTTTTATATGCATAATATTATAACAAAAACATATTAACCATAGTCTATTATATTTGTTATACGATTACAACTATATTTAAAACTTAAACATGGTAAATGTAGAAAAAGGCATTGGTGATTTTAAATCCATTGTATTCTGTTCTCAACTTTTGGTAATGTACCTATCTGTACAAACACGTACATACATGCACACACAATTTTTAATTTCTTCAGAAAGACTTAGTAGGCAGGTTAGAGAAACTTGAGGAAACACGTGTTCCAGTACTAGTATTAAATGTATTTCCAAAGTAGCATTTAACCGCCATTTTCACATGGGGCCTGTTTTCATTTCTTTTTCTTTCTTGCTGTAATCCTGGGCCAGTACTATTCTTGGCTGTTTGCCCTTAGGTTCCGTAGAGAGTATATATACTGGCATATAGTATAAAGCATTTCCTTTGTGTGCAAAGTCACCAGTAAGATCAGGTTTCACCCATTATTTTGGTGTTTTAGTATTTTGATGTATGACATCCAATTTTACTAATTTACAATTTAATCACAGTGCATCAGATTTAAATTCAATTTAGGCATGTTTTATTTTCTAAGCACACTGTGTCTTGTGTTAGGGACACCTCAGAGTAATTTCATAGTATGAGTACAATCTAATCCCTTAAGAATTGTGCTATTAATAATTGTTTTTTTCTTTGTTTTCTTTTTAAGTCATTACTAAGAAGTCCAGAAGTGGTGCAGTTTTTACAGAAACAACAACAACTATTAAATCAGCAAGTTTTGGAGCAAAGACAACAGCAGTTTCCAGGAACATCGGTGTGAGGAAATTTATTAAGAAGATCTACATGATTTTTTATCTTATTGTAGTAGATGAACATATTTTTATACTAAAGATAAGTGGGGCAAGATATGCCAGTAGAACATAAACATTTTCCTGTAAATGTATGTGTGCATTTGGGGATAAATAAGTATTGCACTTTGTGCATCTGGTCCTTTCAGATCACCATGAATTTGAAGAAACCAGCGTGTCTTTCCAAAATAATATTTAATTACAATGTATTTTAAACAAAGTGTTCTTCAGTCATTGTTACTGAAGGTAATGAGGCAGTTACTTTCTGTGGAAGTCACAAAGTTCATAGATATTAATCTTGGATCATCTAGCTCAGTGGTTCTCATCTTGGGACAGTTAGAAATGTATGGGTATGTTTTTTAGTTGTCACAGTGACCGTGAAAACTGCTGGCTTTTAGTGAATGGCCAGGAACGCTAAATTTCTGCAGTTTCTAGAATGGTCCCACACAACTGAGAATTATCTTACAATATCAGTAACATTCCTATTAAGAAACACTGGTAGCTACTTTGATAAAATGTAGTTGGGACACTTAGAACTGGGTTCGCATAGTAACCTTTTCCTTGCAGCTAAGACTGGAGCTGTTGAAGAGGTAAGCATACTTTACGTCTATAGGGAAAGTTAAATTGTTAAATATCTGTGAAATGAGGGTGTGCATCTCTTCAGAGATGTGCTGGTAAAATCCGAGAGCGGGCTTAACTGGGTACACCGGGATGAATGCATCTCCTATGTTGGCTTCTCTGCTTCACGTTACCTGTTAGTGTTGATCACTTTTTAAGCAGACACCCTTGTGTGTTGAATCTGTGAATAGTATAGTATATCTCATCCCACCACTGCCAAGACAAAATTATTTTTTTAATACTTATTTCTTCTTCAAAAAGAGATCCCAGAAATAAACCCAACACTCCAGCATTTTGTCAATGTTTTTCGAAACTGAGCTGTTTTAAGACCATGTTTTTCCTAAGTAATGTTCAAAGAATAATGGGTAATCTCTATAGATACTTTTGTCTTTTATTTTCTCCTAGGAAAACTTTTAAAAGTCAAACCTACCAATAAAAGTAACAAAGTATTTCCAATGTTAGGACAATAAATGTATGTCTCAAATTTAACTGCAAAAATGTGTTAGTTTCTTGGTAGTTAAGTTCTGAAACACATATCAAGTTAAACTTAGTCACTACTGTTCTGAGAAATATTTAAGAATCTTTTTGTTCATTTTTTTATGTGTTTTATACCTTCATATGTGTGCAAAAACGCATTTACCAAAATTACTCATTAAAGTCAAGTTGTTGATCTTTCACTTGTGTGGTCACTTACTCAGTGTAGTTGCTTCACACTGGATGCAGAGGAATTCATCTACATTTGTTATTAATAGTTTTGTGTTCTCTTACTTATGGTGTTAGGAGCTTTATGAATCCCTGGAGTGTAAGTTAACTTTTATGGCCAAAAATATCAACTGTGCTTCGTCAAATGGAAGAGGAGAAATAGGAAAGGAGGGAAAGTCATAGGCCAGTGAGAGCTGAATTAAAAGAGACTGAATTTTTTATAAAACAGTAAGGTTTTATTTGGGGTCAATTTATTGCAGTATGTCCCAATTTTTTACCCCTCAATGTAGTCATGACTTTTGCAATGTGACTTTGTCATTCCTCCCACCAAGAGGACAATTATTTACCTACCCTTTAAATCTGGAGGACTGACCTTGTGACTTGTTTTGGCCAATAGAATGCAGAGAAAGAATATTATGCTGGCTCTGGGTAGATGTCCAAAGGTTTTGAACACTTCCACTTGTTCTTTTTGAACCCTACCCTGCCACCATGGTAACAAGCCCCACCTAGCCTAGCCTGCTGGATAATGAGACACGTGGCCAGTCGCCTCTGTTGTACCAGCCAGTAGCGGGTAAGCAGCCAGATATGTGAGTGAAGCCATAGACTAGCTATCCCCCAGCCAGCCTGCCAGCTGACTATACATAGAGACATTTGATCCCCACTGACATCCAGGCCTAGCCCAGACTGGCAGAACCACCCAGCTGACTGGTGGACTTGTGAGCAATAATGAGTGCTTATGATGTAAGCCAGAGTTTTGGGGTGGTTCATTATGTAGCATTCTTGAGACAGTAGGTAACTAGTTACACATAGCTGAATAGTTATTGCTGCATAATAATTCACCCCAAAATTTAGTGGCTTAAAACCACAATTTATTATAATTTCTCATAGATCTATATATGATACTATTGGTATTAAATAGCTGTGTGAATGCTTTCAAACTAGGTGTGGTAGACTGCACTTTCCAAAGATGGCACAACACAGCCTCCCACCCCACAAGCTCTTATGCAATGTGGCTGGTTAAAAACTGGATTTTATTTTCTACCCTTTTGAATCTGGGCAGGCTCTGTGACTGCTTTAACAGACTATGGCAGAAGTGATGCAGTGCTAGTTCACTTGAGGCTAGAGGAAAGGAGATATAGTAAGTATAGATGCAGTATATTTATAGTGATAAGAACAGAAAGGAATTCACAGATTCCATTTTCCAGCAAGTTATCTGCTAATATGGAGTGGGGGAGTTGATAGTAAAAGGCTTCAGGAAAAAGGGAACAATTTAGCAAGATACACTGAAGTCAATAAGACAGATAACTAGTAGCTAGTAACCTGACTAATAGTTCCCTAATACCATTTTCCCTTCTTTCATAATAACAGAATTTTGGGTTGGAAACATCACCACACAACAGTATGGCTGATTCTCACATAAGATCATGCCAAAGAATCCAGAGACGAATGATTTGTGGATGATTATAAAAAATAACAAGGGTCGGCCGAGTGGCTCATTGATTAAGAGTTGGCTTGGGATGCCAGTTCTGAGCAGCAGGGCCCCGGTTCGGATCCCACATATGAGGGCCAGTGATGCTGCCCTCTACAGCTAAGATGCTGAAAACAGCTCGACCTGGAGTTGGCTGCCATGAGTTGCCAGCAACGGCATAGGCTGCCGTGGGGCTGCCGTGGGCTGCCGTGAGCTGCCGTGAGCGGCTGTACAGTGGCCAGTGACCGACTGCCTCATCTGGGAAGAGCGCAATGATAATACCAACATGGCCCAGTGAAGCGACGTCTTCCACAACTAGGCTGAGGAACAAAAGAACAGCAGCTTGTCTGTTCCCCTCCCCCGATTCCCCAACACTGTTTCCTCCCCCAAGTTCCCCAATAAAATCTTTAAAAAATATATATACAAAAGCAGGTGAAACTATTATTGTTAGAACACAGAGGAGTGGCCATTTGGAGGGGTACAGAGCCTAAAAGGCGGGTTCTGGGGTTCTGGTAATACCTGTTCTTGCATTGGATGCTGGTTATGAACGTGTGTCCAACTGTTAATGATAGTTCAGAATGCTATGCATTTGTTGTTTTTGCACTTTTCAGTATATATTTTTATTTCAATTTAAAATAAAATAGGGTTATTTGTCAACTGCCCTTGCAGCTGGCTGTGGCCACACGAGTAGGCTATAGCCAGTGGGACATGAGCAGAAATGATGTGTGCAGCTTCCAGCTGGTGCCCTGAAAAAGGGAGCAGACAGCCCATTTCACCTCTTCCGTCATCCTGCTGCTTGGAATAGGACAAAGCAGCGGATCATCTGTAGGCCATATGAAGGTAGTTCACTGGGGAAAGTGGGACGAGATAGAAGGAGCCTGTGTCTTTGGATGGCCTCAGGGAGCAGAGCCACCATCCTAGCCTGGGACCCCGTTTTGGGACTACTTTGTGAAAGAAAGAATATCTTGTGTCTGCCATAGTTATTATGATGTCCCTGTTACATCCAGCCAAATCTATTCCTAAATAATGCTATGGGTAAAAGGATTGGCAAGTGGCATAAAGATTTGGCCTCCTAGAAACCAGGACTCTGTAATGACAGCCTGCAGTTATGTGACACTATTTCACAGGGCTCAACCAGCCATAGTAGCAGGAAAGGTAGATTGCAAGCTTGATCTCAGATTCATTAGTGGCAGAAGAGGATGGGGAAGTTAGGATGCTTTTGAGACAGTACTTTCAGTAATAAAAGATGGACCTCTGGTAGCAGAAAAGAAACGAGGCTAAACAGGGAAGGGAGTTTTCTATGGCATTGTACGTAGAGCAAGTGTAGGGAGGATGAGAGAGCATGATATATGTAAGCTAGAAAAACTAGCAGTATTCATTACAATGAATTAGTGACTACCCCAATCTTTATTAAACTCTGTAACAGCATGTAAATCAAACTCTTTGAAATTCTCAGTTATAAAACTATCCCCAGGCTTGCACTTAAGAGCGCGATTTGGAGGGAGTGAATAAACAAGCCTGTTGGATTTGATGACAGAAAAATTACTCCAGAAGAGCTCACTTCACGGTGAAACCCAGTGATTTTGCTTCAGCTTATCCACTGGCAGCTCTAGGGTATTGCAAAAACTTGCTGGAAAGTGGTAATAAAGGGAAAAGGAAAGAAAGAAAACTATTTAAAAGTTGTTTTGCCTCAGGAGTAGTTAATCCAAACTACCATAGAAAAAAAGGAGACAACCAACTAACTAGATGGCCCTCAAATGAAGTATCTGTCAAAGGCATTATTGGCCAAAAATTATAAGTGGACTATGGTTAAAGACTTAATTATGAAAAGGCAAATGCACAGGATCATAACTAATGTTACCAAAAATTACATATAAAGTACATACATGCTTGTATACAAAATTGAAAGTTGCATCTATAAAGGGAAGATTGGGGCATTGGTGGCATAGGTTAGGACAGGGGTTGGCAAACGGGCTCGCGAGCCACATGCGGCTCTTTGGCTATGTTCCGCCTCAAAAGTTTGCCGGCCCCTGGAAGAGCCAATCCTGTCCCTCACAACAATTTAAAAATTATTTGAGAGCCATAAATATATTTTTACATAATCACCATTATGTGAATAATATCCTTTAAAATTTTTATAAATGAAACTAGGGTAGTTTTATTTTCATTTTCAATTTTACTTCAGAGCCTGCGGCTTGCTAGCCACAGTTTGCTGACCCCTGGAGGCTCTCCCGTCTCAAAAGCTTACCGACCCCTGGGTTAGGAAAATGGGGAGATCAGTGATTGGGAGACCATCTTTTATCAAAATAATCCTTTGTACTGCTTGAATTTTTACCATGCATGTATGTCCTTTTCAAAAATGTTTTTCTTACTACAAACTGATATCCTGTTATTGAGAAGGGTGGGCAGCTTATGCTTTTTCCTTTGCTTTCTATTTCAGTTTATGGGAAGAAATATGTTTTTACTAATGAATCTTTTTTTCCGTATACATAGCACTTGCTTATAGTGCAATTTCCTTTCTGGAGTTTATCACCTATTCTGACCCAAAATGTATACTTCTCTATTGGAGGGGCATGAAGAAAGCGTAAAGACAACATGACAAAATGATACCAATTTTCTAGCACTTTATAACTTTCAAAACAGTTCTGCATAACTACTTGGTCTTCACAATAATCCCATAGTGTGTGCACGACAATTATTATTTGATAGCTGCAAAGGGAGGCAGGCTTGCAGACGCTAAGCTGTTTGCTCAGGATCCCTCAGCAACTGGACTTGAATCCAGGCCTGTGCCTGCGTTACTTCCTGCACACGGCTGTAAGCGTGACCCATGTGAGTGGGCGTGGTGAGGCCAGTGCCCTTTAAATATGACTTCAGCATGTGACAATGGCTGCAACATCACTGGGCCATAAGAATAAAACCTTTGCAAATTAAGCCTTGAGATTTGGAATGTTTTAAAAGACAAATTTTATTTAAACTGACCACAATTATGTTCCTTTAGAAAGCATTTTCATAGGTCCTCATTCATTTGAATCTCAAAACACAGCAAGGCAAGTATTATTGTCCCTGTTTTGGGATAAGGAAAGAAACTTGGAGAAGTGAAGTGATTTATAAAACAGGTGTTACTGTTAGAGACAGAGTCAAGATTTAAACCAACATCTTCTGTCTCCATAAATGGTGCTTTTGCTATAGTAGGATGTTGTTGCTGAAGTGGGGGCTAACACCTTTAAGCACACGGTTTTGAGTACAGTAGGCACTTCAGTAAATGTTAATTGTTTAAGCTTTCTTTATGCACACACATATATAATTTTATATAACGAAACAATGTAACCATTGTATATACTGAAAGGTTTTTGTTTAGGTTCCCCCTTTTGTTCCTGGTTTTGGTTCTCCCACCCTCTGTCTTCCAAGCACTGCCTAACTTCCAGGTAAACCTGTGTCAGCTATCCAGCATGTATT